CTGTACAGGTTTGTTCTCTCTCTCTCTCTCTCAAAGTGTGACACAAAGTAAGCGCGCTGATTCTCGATTGTATTCTGTGTGTTCCTCCTATCTACAATTGCTTCGGACGATGGGTAAAAGAGTGTGGGTGTCTGATACGAAACACGTATCAGATGCGTGGGGAAAAACGTGACATAGGAAAACGTGACCTGCACCGCTGAAAACCCGAATGCCAGCATTCCAACAATTCTAGTATTCCCAACATAAGCCTTTTACAAAACCTATAATAGTAGACGAATTAAGAAGGAGGCTAAAAGTACTAGGATATTCGAATTAAATAAAACCTAGTAGTTATAGTTATTATTAAGGAGCTATAATATAAGTAAATAGGAATAGGATACTATATAAGTATATATAACGTCTTAGAAGGTAGACTTCGGATACTTACCTAAGATATATTAACGTATTAATTAAAGATAAATTCTTATTAAGTAAGAGGTTCCTTATAGGTATAACACTATCGATTCTTATTAGAAGGAACTAGATATAATAACTTAATTTAACTTTAAATATAAATTTAAGTAAATAAAATAAATATAATTATTAATATAAACTCTCTTTATAATTTAATTAAGTTCTATAAATTTAAACTTTTAATATAAAACTCTTAATATAATTTTAAGTTCTACTACTATAAGCTATAATTTAATCTTTATATATAAATTATATATATTATTTATGTATAGCCTTTGTCTAGTAGCCTAGTGTAACGAATACTCAAACTGGCTAACTAAACTTGGCTGGGTGTTCGCTGGTTGGTATGCTATGATAAGAAGAAGACTATCGGGTTGTTCACTTGGAAGTGAACTCGTTACTTGTATCAAAGATTTCAAACTAGTATGGTAAGATTGATAACTAAGTTGAGCACGAAGCTCCTATCTAATGGCAGACGTGCCAGTCTTATATAGAACCTTCGTTCCCTTGTGCTAGCTTGCTAGACTCGTCGCTCGGTCGCTGCTAGACTGGTAGACCAGTCGCCCCGTCTAGCGACATATATCACGTGATAACAATACAGAGAAATCCCTGGATCGCTTAGCTACTACAAACGATCCCAATTTGCTATAAGAAACCTGGATGTGCCTGTCGAGGATTGCGCCTCTTATTATGACAAGTATCACGTGAGCACGTGATTCGTGACACCTAGGCTCTACTTATTAAGGTATAAATAGCCTTATAAGTACCCTAGGGGCTGTTTAACCTAAATAATATATCCTCTACCTCTTACGCAAACCTAATTATTAGTAAAGAATATATTTTATATATTAAGGGTAACTAAGTAAGCTTATATATATCGTTTAATCTATTCGATTACTTGTTTATAATAATAAATCTACTAATTATTATTATAAGCTTATAAAGAGTAGTTTCTTATTAACCCTCTATTATCCCTAAGCTAGCCACTAGTTTTAGATAGTAAGATAGGCCTTAATTAAGCGCTTAGTAGCCTAGGCTCTACTTATTAAGGTATAAATAGTCTTATAAGTGCCCTAGGGGCTGTTTAACCTAAATAATATATCCTCTACCTCCTATATAAACCTAAGTATTAGCAAAAGTAAAAGATAGTTACTTAAAAACTTACTTTTATAAATTAATAAATAAAATAGAATTATATATTTAAATTCTTAAAAAGCTCATTTAAATAATATTTAAAATAACTTAGTATTATTATTACTTAGTTTTAATACTTAAATTATATATATTATTAAATAGTGAAATAACTAAGGAAGATACTAAATAGTAATATAAAGAAATTAATTTTATTTAATTAGGTTTTAATTTAATATATATATTTAAGAAACGTTTAAATAAAAAGTCTAAATTAAAAGAATATTTAAAAAGACTTTAACTAAATAGTACTTAATAAGGTTCTAATTAAAAATCACTTAATAAGGTCTTAATTAAATAATACTTAATAAGGTTCTAATTAGAAGATACTTAATAAGGTTCTAATTAAAAAACACTTAATAAGGTCTTAATTAAATAATACTTAATAAGGTAGAGACAGGCGGTAATGCGAGCTTGCGAGCATCGACTGACTCGTATATTTTCACTACCGATAGAGGTAATGACTTGGAATCAATGTTAGGATATCACAGCTGGATTCCGAGGCAATTGTTCAGTAGATACTCGATAAATATCAGCCTTGAAGACCACGGATCTCACCACGTGCTTTACAAGAAGGCTTAATTCAAACAGTTTCTATAGCAACTTTCAATACAAAATTGGCTTTGGCAGCTAAAGCTGTCACTTACTGGGCCTCATACGCTTTTTTGAACCATAGTACCTCCTCCTCTCGGCTTATGTCCACAAGTCATTTCTCTCGGATGCTTTCTTGCTGTGGTCTCAGCCTGTGCCTGGCCGCCTAGATAGTCAACAAACTCATTTTCTGCTTGTATAACGGGGCTCTGGATCATGCATCTCAACGTCTTCGTGGCCCTGGTCTCTACTACTCCCCGGTCTAGCAATCTCAGATATGCTACGAGGTGACAGCGATGGCTTCTTGGGGTTTGGAGGACTTTGTTGTGGTGAAGCAGCAATCTCAGACATGCTACGAGGTGACAGCGATGGCTTCTTGGGGTTTGAAGGACTTTGTTGTGGTGAAGCATGGTGTATTGGAAGTTCACCCCACATGACCACGCTTGCATCGATGCAAGAGAAGACGCCGAACTTCTCTCCATCGGTATCTCCGCGTTTCAAAAGGGCCGGTCTGATGAAGATCTGGACAAACTTGTTGTCTGTTCTTTCATCATCGTCGTGTGGTGCTATGCTTCTCATAGTGGATTCGTCAAACATGACAATTGAACGAAGCTTGGTGTCGAGAGAATCTTGTGGAGTCAGCTTCTCATTGAACAACAAGCACCCCCCCCTCCGAAGAAGCTCGTCCCGAGCGCATAAGTCTGTAGTCGTCGTCTTGTCGTTTTTCGGGTTCTGCTCCTTTTTCGTAGCACTCAAGCCAGTAGGCCAGATTCTTGGGAGGCCCAACTGCTTTTGGATATCTTGTGTGGAACTCCTGTAGCTTGTGAGGCGCTCCTTTGAATCCACTTGCATTGTACCAGACTTCGTCGTAATCCAAACCTGTCCACTTTGCTCTGTACTCTATCCGATACATGCCACGCTTCCTTGATGC